CAAAGATTTTCTTCTTATTTATTAGGAAAAAAATTAAAGATATTCCCTTAAAAAATTTGAAGGGGTAGGCTAGGGAGATGGCTCAATGCATGAGAAGCTGAATGCAAACCCCCAGCCTACAGATGAAAGCCAGGCACAGTTTGTGCATGTCTGTAACCCCAGTGGTGAGAGGCAGAGATGGGTGGGTCCTGGGAGCTTTCTGGCCAGCCAGCCTAGCCAAAATGGCAAGCATTAGGTTCAGTAAGAGATCCCGCCTAATGGGAATAAGGCAGAGAATGACAGAGGAAGACAATATCCTCTCTGGCCTCCACACGTGCACACACAGGAATGTACACATTCACACGTGCACACTATGCAAGGAGGAAAAAAAAGGAAAAAGTCTTGGAGAGCTTCTAACTGAAAAGGGCTTTGACATAATCCAAATGTGTCTCTTTAATTCTGATCAGTTATGAGCCCCCAGTTTTGTGGGTGCCCCCATTAAAGGTCCATGTCTTCATAGTGAATCCCTATTACAGAAGACCACCCTCTCCAATTTCCTAAAGATCCAAAGCGGGAAACAGTATAGTGAGAAAAGTATGGATTTTTGTTCTGATTCTTATCTACTCTTTTTATTCTGTTAACTAGTTCCAGCCCATGAAATCTTGGACAAATCGCAAAACTTTGGGATTCTGTTTCCTTGATCTGAAAGTAAGGGGACCGCTGCCAAGAGTTAGGGTATGCGCATGGATGGGATGCAGAGCAGACTTGACCTGTTGGGAACTCAGCTGTAGTCTCAGCATCTTTCCTGGTGATGTGTTCTCACCAGAAACATTCAGGCCAGCCACTCTGTGAATTCTTGTATCAATGTGTCACAGTTTCCTTGGAGAAATGACTTAATAACCAAGATGTCAAACTAATTCCAACAGAAGTCTTAATGGCTGGAATCATTTAAACAAGTTAGTTACTTGCTAGAGATGTTGGATCTACATGTAAAAAAAAAACAAAAACAAAAACAAAGGCAGGATGCATTTTCAAAATAGACATGGCCTACTCAAAAGTGACATCTATTGAGAGCTCTTCAGAAAACACTTTTTCACCCTTTCAAAGTATGAGAGATGCTAAGAACAAAGTGTCCTTGGATTTCCTCTTCTCTGATAACAGGGCTAAACCAGGACTGTGGACAACCAAATGATTGGGTTCCTAAATTTTAATTATAAGTTTGAAAAGTATGGGAATCCCCTGATTCTGATCATATGGGTCTCTGAGGAGGACCCCACTATGGAGAATAATGAAGTGGAACCGTAGATATATCCACTACATAAACACAATTGGCAAATCACTCCAGCTCACTCCCCGGCACTGTTACTCTGAACAGGATGCAGTGGGGGACAGCAAGAGCATAGCCAATTGGTTCAAACACCACACTCACCCATAACCACCTGAGAACCATGCTTGATCTTCTAGTGCTCTCCACGAGAAGGTGCCCAGTAAATTGAATATTAAATGTTCATTATTTCAAATCAACCATTAAGGGGGGAGAAAATGAAATATAGGAAGCACAGGTTTGAATTTTAAAAGAGTAAACCAAACCATTAAGAAAGAAGAGCAATGTGTGTGCGGGTTTAAACATTACTACAAAGTTTTGTTCTGTCTTGGAGCTTGCCTAGCCCTTTTTTAATTAAAAAAAATCCATTTTAATGATAGCTCATTTTAAACACTGGGAGTTCTATTTACCGGAAAGCAGACCCTTTCTATGGTAGATTGTTCTAGCACAGTGAATGTTCATTCTGTTACAGACTCAGGTTGGCAGCTTCCCTCCAGTAGACGGAAAGTTCAGATGCCTTAGTTCCACCAAGGGGAAGACTCCTGCACTCACTGTGAGTTAGATGTGGGAAGCCTCCATTCTCAGGGCTCTTAGAGCTATCTTTCACAATCTCTCTCTCTCTCTCTCTCTCTCTCTCTCTCTCTCTCTCTCTCTCTCCCTCCCTCTCTCTCTCTCTCTCTCTCTCTCTCTCTCTCTCTCTTCTCTCTCTCTCTTTCCCTCTCTCCATAGAGGCTATGGACTGCTCTAGGAAGACTGAACCCAGAAACTTCCAGCGTGGTGTGGAGCAGTTTAGTAGAGCAGACACCGCAGGGGGTTCTCCTAGTCAGGGAAGATCCTCATTTGAAGACGGCCATGAGTCACAGGACAATGGACAAGATCTCCACCAGTGTGTGGTTGAAGTGAAGCTCTCTCCATCTCACCCCTGTGGCTATTTGCATAATACCCAAGTATTTGTGATCAGAAATACTCTTTGAACAAAGTGAAGTTTTGTCTAGTGGGATATAAGACATTCTGAGCTATAGTTTATGAAAATAATCGCATGTAGTTACCAAAATTAAAAAAAGAAACTTTTCGGGTCACATGGATAACTCTGGCATGTTCTTGGGTACAGCTACAGAGGGCATCATTTCTCTATATTTCATAAAATTACAAATAATCTGGTAAACATATTGGAAATGTGATCTGTCATATTGGAACTGGATACTGAAAAAGACCAGGATGGCTCCTGTTTGATCAATAACACCCAAGAACCAAAATATTCATTTATTATTCAATTAGATGAACTAAAATATTTCTAAGAAAGTATAGAAATAAAAGATCAAATTATATAGTTTACTATGGAAGCCGCTCCTTTGACTGTGTGCCCTTCTGACCAAGACAACTAGAGGCAGAGTAAAATGATGGGAAGGGCAGTCAGAGAGTCCTGCAAGGTTCTTACCCCCTAGAGCTTCAGTCCCCACGCCTATACAACAAGAGGCCGGGAATTGGTGAGAGCATACAGCCTGAGCCCTGGGATGCAGTGGGCACTGGATAGATGATGCCTATGGTTTTAGGGTCAAGATGCAGACTGCCATCGTTCAGTAGTGCCTACTGCTCTGGCAGAAGATTCAACTTTAGACCCCTGGGGTGCATGCAACCACCTGTAACTCCAGCTCCAGGGGTTCTGACATTCCTGACCTCTGGCAGATACCTGTACTCACAACACCACACACACACACACACACACTTCAAAACAGAAAACAGAATTCCATTCTAATACAAATGTGAAGAATGAAGTCTGTAAGAGTAATTAATTCAATAGCTTAAAAGGGCATGAGAGTTACATCCGAAACTCTTCTGGATGATGAGGACGTATGCTTTTTAGTTCCCAGAATACCAATGAGGAAGAAAATACTCGTCAGGCATGCCCATTTCCTTCATTGTGTAAACTGTTTCAACCCAAATAATCAGAAAAGTCTATGGGCAGCAAGTTTTTTTTTTTTTTTAAGATCTGATATGAATTTTAATCTTTATGACTTCTCACAGTCATGCTTAGGAAATAGGCAAAGCAGATGTGTTATCTTAGGCTCAAGGCTCAGGCCAAGCATGGGGCCAGATATGCATTCCCTTCCATATATGATGTGGAACTAGGGCGTTCAATTTTCTTAACTGCCTAATGTAGACAGTGATGTTCAAGGCTCTTCATCTGACTCTGTGAACTGGGATGAAAGTTTGGTTGGTGCTGATTGCTAAGGAGCATCCATCATTTGGCCCCGTTTTCCTCAGGTAAAAATTTACAGTCATGTTAATTTACAGCACTGAGGGCTTAGGACTGCCTCATAGATTCACCAAGACCAGGGAGGTGCACAGTGATCTTAGGACAGTGCTCAGCACACAGGTGTCTATTCTTGGTACCTAAGATGATTAAGGGGACTCCATGTCCATGGCCTGTGTAGGGTCGAATCAGAGTCCTGGGTTGACTTACATCAAAGCGACAGTTTTCAGTGTGGTTCCATTTAGCCTGTTGTCTGGCAGGTGGGACAACTTGGTAGCAGTCCCAAAACATGACAGGAATGCAGCAGGGTACAGAATCAGGTCTTTATGCTCAGCAGTGGGCACTCATAGGCTACATGTACAAACATGCTTACAGGCTGCAGGCAGCTAACTCATCCAACTCCAAAGGAACTTTAACAACTAAGGACAGAAAAAGGGCTCCAGGCTTCTTATGATGCTCCCTGGTAATCTTGCCTATCAGTTAATCTAGCCTTAGCAGCTGGCTGCATCTGCCTTGTCTCACTGGCTCTTTTGCAATTATTTCAGAATGGAAAACAAACCCAGAATCTAAATTGAAGGCTATTTTTTTTTCTGATAGTAAATGCCATTGCTTCCCAGTAAGCAAATGTCTTGAGCCAAAGTGTGCTGTGGGCTCCCGTCACCTCCTGTCGGCTGAGGCCTTTTCACTCGTTCTTGTTCTGCTCTAGAATCTTCGGAGTCTTTGTAGCCTAATATTGACCCTGAGGGTGAGAGGTGGGGAGGACACATCTATAAAAGCAGACAGTTGGGGACAGCTGCTATGTCCAGGCTAGAAGAGAGACTCTTGGAGTTCAAGACAGAGAATGTGTTGTTTGCAAGGGAAGGGCATGGCTAGAATAAATGAGGCGCCACGCATCATAACTCTATACACAGCCCACCTATGGCCAAAAGAATGGGAGTTCATCCTTGCTCTTTAGTGTCTGACAACTGTAATCACACTGAACAAAGCACAGGATTTTGACCCCAGGGCAGGCTTCAGAAGAGGCTAAATTCTCAAGCCCTGGGGTCATCTCCGAGTCACAGTGAAGGGATGTGTCATGGGGGAAGATTATTGCAAAACTGTCCCCTGCTCAGCTCAGGAAGGATACTGGGCAACCGAACTTAACCTTTCTCTAGCCCCCTAACTAGAATTCTGTGCAAGCAGGAATTCTGCTGGCCTGCATGTTTTGTCTCTTTGCCACACACCTGCTTGTTCATTTGTGTTTCTTCAGAACCTGCACAATTATCAACCTGTTTCTCTAGACACTTGGGAGAATTTTCCGTGCAGTGTCAGTATGAATGAGAAAGAACGTGAGTCTGGAGCCTGAAGGCAGGCATCAGCAATTATACAAATGGCCTGCTGCAAAGTGTAGGTACCCAGTTAGATTGTCGAGCATTGCTCACGGAAGGAATTCTCGTAACTTACCCGCCTCTCGGTCCCTGATACAGTAGTCTGGAGAATTCTCAAAATACACGAGGTCATTTTTCGTTGGCTTCTTAAATCTCTTGTTGGCCACCGTGAAGCCAGTGCCATCCTGGTTCATGACGACCTGGATGGCCCCGTTGTACTTCCTCCAGAGATAGTCGCCTGTTTTCCTGAAGTCAGCCATGGCCAGCCAGCATGTCCTCAGAGTACACGAGCCACTCACTCCGTGACACTTGCATTCTTGCTTCAAGAACCGCTTGACAGCCTAGAGCGAAAGACAGAGGGGAGCTCAGTGGGGCGGATCTAAGCACAGGACTGAGCTATGAGTTTTCTTTACCTCAGAGCCATAGAGAAGCGGCTCTGGGAAGGCTGCACCCTGTCATTTATCGGCATCATTTGTCACTTGCTGGTCGTTTTGGCTACACTGTGAAAATTGTCGCCTTAGGTAGAGAAAAGCTGGGAGACTCCAACTGTGAACCCCATCTACAATCCATGTAACCAATGCTCACTGTTTTATAGGGTCCATAGCCGGCTTAGTTGTTTTTAATTTAAATTATTTTTCATACAATACATTTTGATAATATTCTTTCCCCTCTCCCAGCACCTCCCAGATACTGCCTCCTCCCTTCCTATGCAATTTCTTGACCCCCCCTGCTTCTTTCTCAAAAACAATTTAAAGACAGAGGAAATGAAATGTTTTCCTATACATAATAACTTATTTATCTTAAAAATGCATACTATTACAATGTTGAGCATCCTCTATCCAAAACCAGAAGTGTTCTGATATTTGGGGATAGTTACACATATAATATGAGATGTCTTTGAGATGGAATCCTAGTGTGAACTGGAAACTCATTTATGTATAATTTTTGGAAACGTAGCTGGAAGATAATCTTATACTGGACTTTGGATTGCTTGTGTTTTGATCGCAACCTGTCTCATGTAGCCAGGTAGAGAATTTTCCATCCCACCATCATGCCATTATAGAAAATATGTCAGATTTGGGAACAAATTTGATCTTAGATTTTTTTTTTTAGAGTGAGGGATGTACAACCTGTAAAACCTAATTGATGACACAATTACTAAGACTCATTGATCAGTGACCCAGATAGTGTGATTACATATGATTGCTTGCTGTGTACCCTCAGTCTCAATGCCCTTATATAATACAACAGTCTCTTTATCAACTGCAACAGTCCCCTCCCGCATTGCAACAGCCCCC